TGGGCCGTACGAGTTACCCGCGAGTAAGGGAGGACTGAATCTGAATTTGGCTTCGCCTGTTGGCGGGGAACACTGTACCACAATTTCAGCCGCCTGGCTTTTGTGGTTTCCGAGTTGAAAATGGGGGACAAAATGTGGGACACACACACAGACAACCCTGTGACAGTATGCGTTTTGTAACGCTGTTACACAGCACAAAACGCATAAAAACTGAATCAGCTCAGAAAAGTTTTGGAAACCTCTCAATAAAACTCAGGTGGAATTTTGAGAGTGAAGCAGTGAAACGAACTCGGGTTTTTTCTTCAATGTACGGAAACATCGGAAACGATTTTTTGCTTTGCTTGAAAAACGATGACTTCTGCTGTTGCTCCCATTTCCACATAATATCGTGAGAGCGCTGCTCAGCTATATGAGTTGCTGTGACGTCTGCTGAAGCTAAAATGTTTCAAAAATGATCAAAATTTCAATTTTTTACTTCTGGACAAAGACAGAAGGACTTTGTTAGGCATGCCTCGTTACACAGGGAAACAAAAAGGCAAACTTTTTTCGTGAGGAGCACAACTGAAATGACAGACAACAAAAGGATTGTAATACATGCTTTAGAAAAATGAAGAAATTAAGCGGGGAAGCGTATGCTATAGACACCAGCAGTAAGCAACTATTAGGTGATTTAAATATAGTCATAGCAGTCGGGAAAATATTTGCTCTACGATGCTAAGACGTACTATGAAGAAGAGAAGCGAGCCAATCAAAGTAACAAAGTAAGTAACTAAGACGAATTTCAAACAAAATGCAACCATTTTTACAAAAAATAAGAAAAAAAAAGAGTCATTTCAATGAAAAAAAAAAAAATTGCCCGCTTTCCCTACCATAAAAACCCGTCGATCATACAGCAGCCGTCAGAATATTAAGATATTCAAATTACGCTGCGTCGAATGCTTAGCTGCGTGAAACGTTTAATCCGAAACACAATCTAAATGTAACCTGTGGCAGAGTTATTCCCAAAATGTCCATTATCTGCTCCAGTACTTGCGTGTCTCGAAGCAACGAACATTTTTCCGGCAGCCCCAGCTGTAGAAGCGCCCAACACCATCACTGTATCATCGTCACTGTCTTCTGATGAATCAGCGTGCTCCAACCTCGCATTTCGGCGTGAATTTTCTAGCCTACGAAGCGATAACAATATTCACTGTGACCACTGAAGATTCTCAAAAAAACCTGAGTCAGGCGGCAGTTCTCAGGAGAAAATGGCATATATAAAGTTTTTTTTTTCAACCTGACAAGGCCGAAACGTCAACATTTCGTTTCCTTACTCATTCTCACATACTCTCTCTTCGTCCCTCTAATAAATAGCAGCACCCTGACGTTGCCTGAGTCGATAATTTTCTCTTCGGATGGCTTTCAAAGAAATGCGCTAAGACTACCATGATTCCTGTCCATATCAAATATACCGAAACATTTCTTACCTATAACAAATATTTCTTTATACCCTTAACTTATTGTAATATCTTTTTCCTATTCTTCTTTGTTTCCTTTGTCTCCTAATATTCCCCTTTTTTAACCTTTAATACAACAGTATCGATTTACTCAAGCAATGAATGCGAGTAAAATGTAGAGGGGGGTGCAGGCTTTCACTGGAAGACCTCATCCCAACCACCAACGGTTTCACCCTAAAAGTGGGCACCACTTGTCGCTAAATCAGGCCTACAGAAAACACATACTTGAGTAGGAACATACTTGAAGTTGATATTTGTAAAATAAGCTATACCTAATTCGAGTTGCTTCACGCTCTTCCGCAAGTTTCATTGCGCGATAATTTTTTAACTCAGCGCCATCCAGGCGTATTCTTCGCTTAACCTCTATTGTTAGATTCCGATTTATGGAACCATTCGGGTTTTCAGCTGACTGCTCTGCCATACGAATTAATCGCGCGCCAAGAGTTCTATCCCCAGAACGCCCTAAAATACATGCAGTTTTTAACAAGCCATTTGTTAGCTGCGTAGAACGAAACGAATGGTATGTAGGTCTAGACGACGAGACGGTCACGTGGCAGGCGCCTCATCGTTTAGACGCATATATCATTCGCTTTGAAGCCGATGAAAAATTTTGTAGATTTTCGCAGATATCGTCCCTAAAACCGTTGGAAGCCCCGATAAAACAGGGCTGTATCGAGAAGAGGTGAGCCAAAGTAATCCCATAAAATACCAAAACAAAAGCGACATATACACTTTTATAAAAATAAGAAAAACAGCCAGGAGAATGAAAATCAGTATAAATTATCACAGTCACCATGAAAAGCTCGCCTAAACAGAAGAAGTCTACGACAAAAATTTGGCAGACTAAAATTAAAAGGAATTTGTCAGATTAGAAAGCATTTAGGCTGCCGCATCAGCTTGTTTCCCCGTTGGGATGAGGAAAAAAAGCATTACCTAAAGTCAAGAAAATAAGCGTAAACAGAAGCCGTGGCCACAGTATCTTCTTATTATGCTCAAATAAGTCCCAGGGACCTCTAATTACATACCATTAACAACAATTTTCTTAAAGTTGTTTAATAAATTAGATTTGCTGAATCTTAAAATCTAAAATGCAACAAGTGAACAAAACTGGACAGCTCGTACTACCTGTTATAATAACAGTATTCTTGACATCAGTGCACCAATCCAGAAATAATTCCCTCGAAAAGCCACTCTCCATATCCAAACCGCTTACAAGTACCACCTGTAAAAATAATAGGAAATGTTCTGAAATGAGTAAAAAACAGGACCAAAAAAGCAGGAGTGTAAATTTGAATCAAAAAATACTTTAAAAGATATGGACCATCAATCGATAAATGCAGGAAAAAGTGATGGATCGACAGTTCTTTGAAATGCCTTTCCGATAAGTTAGAAAGAACCATTTGAAGGCCCATAAAGTTGTGAAAATGCAAAGTGATCTCAAAAAAAAAAAATAAATAGCAGCGCGCACCAGACTAGCCGGTGCGATCATGCGTTCTGTGCAATTCAGCCCATCGAACGATTGCCTATCAATGATGTTCACTGCTTCGTACTTTCGTCTATGCAAAAATAGTTCAAACATTGGAAAATAGTTAAAAATTTCACGCACCAGCGCATGAAAGCTGAATATGAAACCTTGAAGGATAATATCTTTCCGTGATTCCCGAATTAATAGTTTATCCGCCAAAATTTTCACGAGCCTCGAAGGGTGAATATCTTTCCGTGATTCCTCAGATATTAATTTACCCGTAAAAAACCGGGGCCGCACGTGTTACCTGCGAGTACGGGAAGGTTGAATTTGAATGGGCAAGGTTGAGCATGGGCAGGGGGTCATTACCCTAAAATTTCAGCCTCCTAGGCTCTGTGGTTCCCGAGATATTAATTTGCCCGTAAAAAACTTTCACGGGGCCGTACATGTTACCCGCGGGTACGGGGAAACTGAATTTAAATTTGCTGGGTCACACGTGGGTGGGGGACGTTCCCCTAAATTTTCAGCTTCCTAGCTTTTGTGGTTCCCGAGTGGAATCACACGTGGGTGGGGAACGTTCCCCTAAATTTTCAGCTTCCTAGCTTTTGTGGTTCCCGAGTTGATGGGGTCACACGTGGGTGGGTAACGTTTCCCTAAATTTTCAGCTTCCTAGCTTTTGTGGTTCCCGAGTTGAAAGTTGCAGGTGGGGAACGTTCCCCTAAATTTTCAGCTTCCTAGCTTTTGTGGTTCCCGAGTTGAAAGTTGCGGTGGGGAACGTTACCCTAAATTTTCAGCTTCCTAGCTTTTGTGGTTCCCGAGTTGAAAGTTGCGGACAGTCACACGTGGGTGGGGAACATTACCCTAAATTTTCAGCTTCCTAGCTTTTGTGGTTCTCGAGTTGAAAGTTGCGGACACCCCTTAAATTTTCAGCTTCCTAGCTTTTGTGGTTCCCGAGTTGAAAGTTGCGGACAAGTTGCTGCGTTAAATTTTCAGCTTCATAGCTTTTGTGGTTCCCGAGTTGAAAGTTGCGGACAAGTTGCTGCGGGAAACGTTACCCTAAATTTCCAGCTTCCTAGCTTTTGTGGTTCCCGAGTTGAAAGTTGCGGACAAGTTGCTGCGGACACAAATACACATACACAAACACATACACAGACAACCCCGTAACAATATGCGTTTTGTACTGCTGTTACACAGCACAAA